AAAATGGCGTTGCGGAGAGGAAGCACAGGCATCTTGTGAAAATGAGATTGCCTTTGCTAGCTCAGTCACATTTTCCCACTAAATTCTGGGATGATGCAGTGGCAGTAGCTTGCTACATTATTAATAGAATCCCAACTAGAGGTCTTGACTACAAGAACCCACTGGAAATGATGCATAAACATAAGCCAAATTACAATAGCTTAAAAGTCTTTGGATGCTTGTGTTTTCCACATCTGAGCAGCTTCAATAAAAACAAGCTAGAAGTGAGATCACAACCTTCAACCTTCATTGGTTATAGCAACTCTCACAAGGCTATAAAATACTTTTGCCAAATGGAAAGGTAATAGTCTCTAGATAGGTTATTTTCAATGAGAACATATTTCCTTATGCTCAAGCTTGTGGTCATGATACAAACACACAGAATCTACCCTCTCGATGGGTTGGTTGTCCACCCCTAGTTCAAAAAGGTGGCAAAACATCTTTCACCAGCAGAAAAAGGTCCAAACTCCTGTGAATCATGGTGAATCTTCTCAAGCCAACTCAGAAGAAGCTCAAAGTTTGGAGAGTAATAGGACAACTCCCATCTATGTTCATTTATCTATCTCAGTACCAAACACTCCACTTTTCATTGCATCATCTTTACCTCAAGTGATTCAAAACAGACACCCCATGGTCACAAGACTAAGAGCTGGAATTTTAAAACCAAGAGCCTTAACTAGTGTTGTGGAAGAAAAGGAACCAAGTAGTCTCTTAGAGGCTTTGGAATCAGACAACTGGAAAGAAGCCATGAGAAGTGAGTATGAAACATTGATGAAGAACAAAACATGGTTTCTGACCTCACCTCCACAAGGAAAGAACATTGTGGGATGCAAATGGGTATTCAAAATTAAAAGAGATATCAATGGCAATATCAGCAGATATAAGGCTCGGTTGGTGGCTCAAGGATTCTCTCAAGCAAAGGTGTTTAATTTTCAAGAGACTTTCAGTCCAGTGGTGAAACACACAACCATAAGAGTCTTTCTAACCATAACTACAATCTTGGGATGAAAGGTGAGACAACGAGACATTAACAATGCCCTCTTAAATGGTGATTTGTCTGAGAACATCTACATGATGCAGCCTTCTGGGTTTGAACAAGAATCTGAAGTACCTTTAGTTTGCAAACTCACCAAGTCCATCTATGGACTAAAACAAGCTTCAAGAGCCTGGTTTTTAAAGGTAAACTACCCTGCAGAATCTTGGTTTTATTTGTTCAAGAGTAGACAATTCATTGTTCTTTAAGCTCACCAAAGGAGTTGTTATTTATCTTCTAATCTATGTTGATGACATCTTGATTACTGGAAATGATGAAAAGGAAGTGAACAAGCTCATCAACCTGTTGGGAAAGAGTTCCTACTTAAGGATATGAGTGAGTTGCACCATTTCTTAGGCTTTGAGATAAATAAGACTGAAGATGGGATTTTCCTCAGTAAAAAACAATATGCACAAGACCTTCTTTATAAGGCTTCAATGAAAGAAGCCAAGGGAATAGCAACTCCTATGATAACAGGAGCTCATCTCAGCAAATATGAAGGAACTCAAAGTTGCAATGGGACTCTTTTTAAAAGCTGAGTGGGAGGTCTGCAATATCTCACCATTTCTAGACCTGACTTGGCCTACAGTGTGAACAAGATAAGTCAATACATGTCAAACCCCTTAGATACACACTAGAAGGCCATCAAGAGAATACTAAGACATGTGAGTGGAACCTTAAACTTTGGACTGAATATCTCAAAGGCAGCAAACTTCAACTTGGTGGGTTTTTTAGATTCAGATTGGGGTGCAGATGTAGATGACAAGAGGTCCACCACAAGCTTTTGCATGTTCCTAGGAGGTAACTTGGTCTCATGGAGCTCAAGGAAGCAGGCATCAGTTTCTATGTCAAGTGCAAGCAGAGTACAAAAACCTTTCACATGTTTGTGCTGAGGTTATGTGGATTACTTCATTATTGACAGAAATGAAGATCAAGACTACACAAAGGCCAGTGATTTGGGTGGATAATCAGAGTGCAATTGCTTTGGCCACAAATCCAATCTTGCATGACAGAACTAATCATGTGGAACTGGATTACCATTTTGTTCGAGAAAAGGTGGCAGCCAAACTTATAGATGTGAATCACATTCCAAGCTCAGAACAGATAGCATATGTGTTAACAAAACCGCTTAGTGTTCAATTCTTCTCAAGGCTGCGAGGTAAACTCAAGATTTCACCTTGCCCCTTGCTCGAATTGAGGGGGCCTGATGAAATGCATGATTATGGAAGTGTTGACCGAGTCAACACAGCAAAGAAGGAAAAAGAGTAACTTAATTTTGTCATTTTGTCCAACTATGTTTGCATGGGACCACTTTAGCTTAGTTTGAATTCTCTTGTCTTTTAGCTTGCATGATAGGCTTCTTGACACAATATAAATACTCCATGTAATCCATTTAGCTCATGATATGACATTCACTATTTTCTAGATCTGAGTTTCTTCACAGCATCCATGATGTACGCTCCCATGTTCTAGGCATTACTTGAAATTCTTCACATATCCATAAGAAAACTAGCCTGTGCGATACACGGAATCATATATTTTCCTAGAATGTTTAACGTATAAATATTAAATTTAATATAATTTATATATACGTAACAAAAATATATGGTTCTAGCATTAAATTGTGTATTTTTTGTTGTCTTGCTGCTTAATTTCGGTGAAATTTGCTTGGTGCTGAATTTCTGTTATTTTTTTAGTCTCTGTGCATCATTTTTTGCTGCTGAAAATCAATTGTGCTGAAAACTGCGTGTTTAAACTGCTGAAATCTGATTTGGACTGAATTCTCTGTGAATTTAATTGCTGAAAAATCTGATTTTGGGCTGAAACTGAGTGTTCTTAATTGCTGAAATTTGTTGTGTTGTTTATAAATAGAATATGTTGTGTTTTCTGTGAAAATGGCTTATTTTCCAGCTTTTAATGTGGCCCCGTTTGACGGGAAATCTGATTTTTCAATTTGGCAACAAAAAATGAAAGGGATTTTGATTCAGCAGATGGTGTTTAAAGCCGTTGAAGGCTCGTTTTCACCCTCTGAGCCATCAGATAAAATTGCTGAAATGGATCAATTTGCTTATTCGTCAATTATCTTGAATTTGTCTGACTCCATACTTAGAAAAGTTGGTAAACTTGATTCTGCTAAAGATATGTGAGAAAAATTGGAAGAATTATATACTGAAACTTTGTTGTCGAGTAAATTGTTCTTGCTTGAAAAAAATTTCCGGTTTAAACTTGATCTTTCGAAAGACATTGATGAGAATCTTGGTGTGTTTACTAAACTTGTTCAGGATATTAAATTGACCGGTGATAAGCATATTGATGATTATACTCTGATTGTGCTTTTAAATGCTATTCATGATTCTTATAGTGATGTCAAGTCTGCTATTAAGTATGGTAGGGATATTGTGATGCTTGACACGGTTGTGAATGGGTTAAAAAGCAAAGAATTAGATTTAAAAGCTCATAAGGGGAGTAAAAGTTCGGGTGAGGTTCATTTTGTTAGAGGAAGGCAACAAAATAGATTTCAAAATCAAAAACCCTCTAACAATAATGGTAACCAACCTACTGAAAAGAAAAAGGGTAAATAAAAAAGTCGTTCTAAATCCCGTCTGAAAAATCGTAAGTGTTACAATTGTGGTGACATTGGGCATTAAGCTAAAGAGTGCACTAAACCCAAAAAGAATCAAGTTAATGTGGCCTCGTGTAGTGATAATCTTGGTGATGTGTTTGTCGTGACTGAAATATGTGATATGCATGCTGATGTGAATTCTTTGCATTCTCATCTTTGTGAAAATGAATGGCTTGTTGATTCCGGTTGCACTTTTCACATGTCTCCATTTAGAAATTTGTTTTCAAACTACAAAGAGGTTAAAAATGACTCTGTTTCTATGGCAAATGAGAAACTTTGTGATGTTGCTGGTATTGGTGATGTGTGCCTTAAGTTTAATTCCGGTTATATGCTTTGTTTAAAAATGTTCGTTATGTTCCCGACTTGTGCCATAACCTAATTTCATGTGCTGCTCTTGAGGATGACGGGTTAGAGGGTAAATGGGGTAAAGGGGTTATGAAAATTCTGAAAGGTTCATTGGTTATTTTCAAAACTGAAAAACGGAAAAACTTGTGTGTATGCACTGCTACTTGTGAATCACATGCTGAAATTTCTGTGAATGCTGTTCATGTGGACCAAACTTTGGCATAGACGTTTAGGTCATATGAGTAGTCGTGGTCTTGAAATTTTGCATAAAGCGGGTTGTTTTGGTAAAGATAAATTATCTTGTGTGCCGTTTTGTGATTCTTGTGTACTTGGCAAGCAACAATGTGTTAAATTTCATGTTTCACCTTCCCCTAAACCCTCTATGTGTTCGAAAATTTTTGAATATTTGCATGCTGATGTTTGGGGTCCCGCTAGCGTTCTGACACATGGCGGGAGTAAGTATTTCCTGTCTGTGATAGATATTTTTTCAAGAAAGGTCTTTGTGTTTCTTTTGAAAAATAAGTCTGATGTTTTCGAAACGTTTAAGACTTGGAAAACCTTGATTGAAAACCTAACCGGTAAAAAGATTAAAATTCTTAGGACTTATAATGGGCTTGAATTTTCAATAATTTGTTTGATGAATTATTTGCTCAATCTGTTATTCAAAGGCATAAAACCATGCCTTACACCCCTCAACAAAATGGTGTTGTCGAGCGAATGAATAGAACTTTACTTGAAAGGGTGAGGTGTATGTTGTCTAGTTCAGGTCTTTCAAAAAAGTTTTGGGGTGAGGCCGTTTTAACTGCAATTTATTTGATAAATAGGTCGCCTTCCGTGCCTTTGAATGGTAAATGTCCTGAGTTTGTTTGGTCTGGTAAAGAAATTGATTTTTCAAACTTGCGTGTTTTCGATTGTGCTGCATTTTATCATACGAAACTTGATAAACTTGAACCTCGCTCGATGAAATGTGTTTTCTTAAGATATCCTAATGGTGTTAAAGGTTATAGATTGTGGCTTAGAAGTGTACTCGGCTTTAAGGTCGTGATAAGTCGAGATGTAGTCTTTAATGAATCTGAAATGCCATGTTTAGTTGCTTCTTTGCCTGCTCCTTTACGTGATGAATCTGAAAATGCTCCAAATACGGTGGAGCAATTGAGTGGGTTAAGTGATTTCGATAATTCTGAAAATATGCATGCTGAAACTGAAATCGAACGTGCTGTGTTTGATAATCAACCTGCTAAAATTGCTGAAAATGAATCTGTTGCAGCTGAAACTAAAAATCAGCATTTTGAAAATTTCAAAAATGTCGATGTGCATGATGAATATGTGGAAAATGTTCCTGAAAATGATGTTGATTTGCATGATTATCAACTTTCTAGAGATAGGACTAGAAGGAAGCGTAAGAAACCTTATAAGTTTGATGATTTTCACATGACTTCATATGCTTTTGGTGTTTTCGAATGCATTGATAATTGTCAGCCTAAGTCTTATGAGGAAGCTTATAAATCTGTGAATTCTTTGCAATGGATGAATGCTATGCGTGAAGAAATTAATTCGTTGCATGTGAATCATACTTGGTCGCTTGTGCCTAAACCTGATAATTGTTCCTTAGTGGATTGCAAATGGTTATATAAGGTTAAACAAGAGAATGATTCGGTTAGGTTTAAGGCTAGACTCGTAGCAAAAGGTTCCACTCAACGTGAGGGTATTGATTATACCGAAATATTTTCTCATGTTATTAAATTCACCACTGTGTGTATCATGCTTACTTTAGTTGCTCACTTTGATTGGGAATTAAAGAAAATAGATGTTAAAACTGCTTTCTTGCATGGTGAATTAGATGCGAAAATATATATGAAACAACCTGTCGGTATTGTGGATGCTAAGAAATCTGATTATGTGTGTTTGTTGAAGAAATCCTTGTATGGTTTGAAACAATCTCCTAGGCAATGGAACAAGAAATTTGATATGTTCATGCTTTCTTTAAAGTTTAAGAGAAGTTCTTATGACCATTGTTTGTACTTTAAAGAAAATGCCTTTGTTCCTGTTTTTCTGCTCATTTATGTGGATGATATGTTGTTGGTCGGTCCTTGTATTAAGTCTATTGAGCATGTTCAAAAATGTCTAAGTGATAAATTTGATATGAAAAACCTTGGAGATGCTAAAAGAATTCTTGGAATGAACATTATTCGTGATTGGAAAAACTCTGTGATTTTTCTTAATCAAATTTCTTATGTGGAGAAGATTATGAGTAAATTTTCTATGTCGTCCGCAAAATCCGTGAACATTCCCCTTGCTGTCCACTTTGTGCTAAGTAAGGATCAGTCTCCTAAGACTGATTCTGAAATTGATTTGATGAAAATTGTGCCTTATTCAAATGCAATTGGTTCTGTGATGTATCTCATGGTTAGTACTAGGCCGGATATTGCATATGTTGTTAGTTGTTTGAGTAGGTATATATCTAATCCGGGTATGCCTCATTGGGAAGTTCTTAAGTGGTTGTTACGTTACTTGAATGGTTCTATGCATGTTGGTCTTAAATTTTCTAAATGTTCAGAGGGTGTTAAACTTGTTGGCTATGTTGATTCGAATTATGAAAATGATAGAGATAACAGGAAATCAACAACTTCATAAGTGTTTACTTTGTGTGGCTCTTGTGTATGTTGGAAATCACAACTACAACATATTGTTGCTTTGTCTATGACCGAATCTGAATATGTTGTTGTAACTGAGGCTTTGAAAGAAGCTGTTTGGTTGAAGGGTCTCTTATGTGAAATCGGTTTGCTTGAAAAAGATGTTGTGTTTTTGAATAGCCAATCGTGGATTCAATTGTGTAAAAAACATGTTTTTCATGATCGCACTAAGCATATAGACGTTAGGTTCCATTTCATACGTGATATTGTGTCTAAAGGCTTAGTTAATCTTGATAAAATTGCATCCGAGTTTAACCCCGCTGATATGGGAACTAAGTGCTTACCTGTGGAAAAAATTAGATCATGCATGAGAACTTTGAACTTCGATTCGTGTGATTGATGTGCTGTAATTTATGTGTGCTTGTAGGTAGTGTACTATGTGTTTGCTGCCTGTTTTGATACTTGTTCTAACTTCGTGGAAGTGCAGGTGTCGTCGTTAGGCAATGATGAAAGTCCTCCGGCTCCTCAAGGTGTCTGGTATTCGGTGGTGGGCCAAATTCGGTGGAGAAATGTTGGGAATTTGGCCCAAAACTAAATCCCTATCTCAGGCCCAAAGAAGCCCAGGCCCAATCCCGACTAGGCCTGGCCCTCTTACACACACAAATGGCAGATTAATTGGACCCTTGGATTTAGGGATTAAATCCCAACCCTCCATTACACACTATATATATTAACTCTCCTTTACCCTAACCTAATCTCAGACTCTCCACTCTCTCACCCTGCTGTGCCTAAAAACCGATATCTCTCTCTCTCTGTGAGAAAACACACTGACGATCTCTAAGTCTATCTCTTTTCTGTTCTTTGTGACCTTTGAGTGTGAGTACCGCCGTTGTGCCGTCGTGAGAGCCGCCATTGTGCCGCCTCGCCGTCGCCCTGCTCAGCCCGCCAGCTAAAGCCCTTGCGGGGTGCTTTCCGGCGAATCTCTGTGTGAGAGGAGGGGCTTTGCGACAGAGTGGCCGGATGCTTGGCTTGTGTGAGGAGGAGAAGCCCGGGTATTGGGCCGACGAACCGGGGCTGCCGTCCGTTGGCCACCACCGAGCTGCTACTTCAACGAGGGTGCCGGGTTCAAGGATAATCTGAGCCGGGAGACTTCGTGTCGTCATTATCCGACTAGATTTCGGTCAAAGGGAGTTCTTCTTTCCATTCTATTTCATTTCCTATTGGCAAAATTGCGGCTAATATTATGACCTTTATCGAGATTGCAAATTAATCACAACCTTTTAACTTTTGCATAATATATCACGCCCTTCAATTCTTTGCAAAATGAAACATTTGCTGCCTTAACTCGCCTGACGTGACACTCAAAATGCCAACACACCTGTTGATGTGTATTTAACAGACGATGTTTTTTGCATAATTAATCACAACATTTTAAATTTTGCATAATATATCACGCCCTTAAATTTTTTTGCAAAACGATACATAGTTTTCATCTGCTGCCCCAACTCGTATGACGTGTATTTAACAAATGATTTTTTTTCCCATATCATCCCTGGACGAGATGAGGGGGAGATTTTGGAACCCTTGGGGGATATATTAGGCTAGAGCTGGAGATTTGGAACACGAAAAGATTCAAACACCGGGTCATCTCTCAAGGAAGATTAGCCGAATACTTTGCACGTGTATTCAATTACACGAAAAGAGAAACAAATCTGAAACACTCTAATTCAATTGTTTTTTGTTTTGATTATCAACTACAAATTCTATGAATAAAGCAAGACACACTTGAAATTCTAAATGAAGTTCAAATAATGTTTGGTGAGTTAGGGAGTCGGAGATATTCCTTTATGGTTCTCAAGCAATCAATTAGCACGCAACCGTTCGGTTACGAGATCAAATAACATACTCGTTTAGAGGCTTGTTCTCAATAACTCTTCGTAACGATCAATTATCAAACAATTAACATATAGACAATACATTAACGAACAAGCCTATTCTAAACGACCCGAGATCAATCAATTTCTCCCCTTTCGGTTCTACAAATTGATTAACTAGATTAAAATGATGATCAAACATTTAACCCTAGATTAAGCACAACTCGAATAGATTGAACGGCAAACACGTACACATGAATCTCAATCGAACCAAAACAAATATCCCCTATCCCTAACGAAGCGATTTAGCCACACATATTGATATCAATCCCATCAAAAGATTCAACATAATAAATCACTTCCATAACCAAATGAAAGAAAATTACTATTAATCCAAGTCGAGAATAAAATCGAATTACAAACCAAACCGTGTTTGTTATGGAGTGCCACAATCTCCAAACTCGAATCCAAGCAAAATCCAAAGAAAACCAAGTGAAAGTTGTTGAGAGAATGAGTTTTAGATGAAAAGAAAAAAGATAAAAGTCTCAATAATTTGTTTTCTCTCCAACCCTAGCCTAATATATCCCCAATGGTTCCAAAATCTCCTTCTTATCTCGTCCAGGGATGAGATGAAAAAAAAAAAAAAACATTTGTTAAACCATGTATCGTTTTGCAAAGAATTGAAGGGCGTGATATATTATGCAAAAGTTAAAAGGTTGTGATTAATTATGCAAAAAAAAAAATCGTCTGTTAAATACACATCAGCGTGTGTGTTGGCATTTTGAGTGCCACGTCAGACGAGTTGGGGCAGCAGATGTATCGTTTTGCAAAGAATTGAACGGCGTGATATATTATGCAAAAGTTAAAAGGTTGTGATTAATTTGCAATCTAGATAAAGGTCATAATATTAGCCGCAATTTTACCTTTCCTATATTACAGCATTTTACTTAGTGTTATTTTTCTCTTTTCTTCTCTTTTTTGCTTGCTATTAATCCTTTGTGCTTTGTGCTGTGATTTGCAGCTGAAAAGCGGTTGAAACGGGAGTTGAAAAGGAGCAGTTGGAACCAGCCCGGGAGTTCGGACAACATACCGGGAGTCCCTTGAACACGAGTAGCATCTCGGGGATTAAGAGAAGGATTGCATGCGTCAGACGAGCCAAAGAGACGAGCTTCCGCTGCGAACAAGTCGAGCGGTGGAAACTGGACAGCCACATAACAATTGGGAACTCTCAAATAAGCCAAAATTAAAATTTAATTTTTCGAACAATGTGATATGCCAGATTTCTTCAAAAATATCGCCCATAATTAAAAAGCACGTGTAATAAAAATTCCACACAAAAATTAAACAGTTTTTTTTTTTAATCGATTTTCTTTACGAAATTTACACAAATAATTTATTGACCATATTTTTTCAATATATACAAATTAGTATATATATAATTTAAAATTTAAAAAAATTATATATCTATTCTGATATATTGATTCGGTGAATCGATGATCTAAAGGCCCGTCCGAGTCATGCATATGTACACTAATATTCAAATCTTTCATATACATACACTAATATACAAAATCTTTCATTCTTATATTTTTTTATATAAAAAAACATGTGTGTTGTATTACCAAATATTAGCTTTTGACAAGGAAATGATATCTCAAGCTTAGATATAATTTTACCCAAATCGTCAAAGTCACTCTATTATATCTCTTAACAAATGTTGGAAATCAAATCTTGAGCCTCTCTCTCTCTCTCTCTCTCTCTCTCTCTTAACAAATTTTGATTAAAGTCACAATCTCATCTCAAATTCACTTCCCTTTTAGTCTTCTCGTTTTATTTATATTAATCACCTTTTGACATGCCCACGCATGGATTTTTTGCCTCACATTAAGCAATGTCACGATCCCGTTACGGGATCATTCTGTCAGGTGTTTTAGTTAGTATAAGATAGATGATCTAACGGTTAAAATACCCAACGAGATGGTTCCGTAACGAGACTATCATTTCCCCATAATGGTAAACCTTGTTTGAATTATGCGTATATGTGAATGGATTTGAACTTACAATAATACCCTTGTTAATTAAGGATTATAATTATTATATCAACTCTTAATTAATTAATGCAATCACTCTCACAAGTTTCCTTTTAAGCTCTTTGAACTTTGTGTCTGTTATCTTCACATTCACTGTTTTCATGTCATTTAATTTAATTTTCTTGTTATCCTTTGGATAACTATAAGCTTGTTGATCTACATGCTTAGACTAATTACTGCGTGGGTCATTACTTGGTTATGTTGTCTAATCAGCCATAATTACGCATAAATGCAGTCAATACTCAATTTTAGGAAAATTCATTTTAGTGCAAGAACAAGTTTTTATTATTTATCTTTTTTGTGTGAATGAATGGTATTTTTATTTTTCGTCTCATCACGAAGATACTACTTCTTATTTTTAATATATGTCGTTTTGAGAAGTTGCACACTAATTAAGAAATTTTTTTTTTTTTCAATAATAACCTTATTTAATGAAGATATAGATGAATGTTTTGAGAAAAAATGAAGAGTGAATATGAAAAGACGTAATGTATTTAGTGGCTAAATGAGGGTAATAATGAAAAAATATGTACAATATATCCAAAACGACATTTATTTGGCAAATAGTTGAAAAGACTAAAATGACATTAAAAAAAAAATAGAAGGGAGTAATATATAAAAGAGCTCGAAACAAATGTGTTAGTGTGATTTTGTGAATATTATATTTTTGGTGGAGATAGGTTTCGGTATCTTAGCTATTTGGTATATATATTTTTAAGGTTTTCTTTGTATCTATGTATTCAGTTTTTGTAAAACTCGCAAGTTGGGAATGAATCTGTTTTCACACATTTGACATTAGGTATCAGAGAAACCAAAAATTTTATCACTAATAAATTAAAAACCTCTACTAAAACCATGTTCTTCAACCTGGCTTTGGATATCTTGTCTTAAAACCATTGTTCTCGATGGGCAGTTGTGGTTGAATAAGAAAATACGTATTTGACATATTTGAGAGGATAATCTCTTTTATTTCTTATTTGTACGTTTTTTTAAATCAGTTGGCATCAGAAGTCAAAACGCTTCAAAATGGCATAGAAAGATCGCAAGAACTTCATAGAAACATCTCAAGAACTTCATAAACCACAAACTTCCCTTAATGTTGTGGATTGTTATTCAAAAAGTCAATCATAATACCACAAGTTTATTCTTTGGCATCTCACTCTCCTTTATAATAATTATATATTAAATTAATTAATATCATAATAATTTGGGGCTTTTTGTAACATAAAACCTTACGTGTAATATATATGGTCAATTGCTTCATCTATCATGCATTATTTTTTATTTTTTATTTTCATAATTAAATTTTGACAAATCAAAATTCGTGATTAACTTGTGACAAATCAGAATTTCATTTTTGTCTCATAAATAAGATTGACATATACTATATATTTGTTTCTTCAACATACTAATTAAAACAACTGATTTTTTTATTTAAAATATATATTCTTATATATAAATCAATATATATTCTTATATATAAATCAACCACATCGGTTTGTGTATTTACTTTTATGTAAAATATAGCTTTTCCTTTCCACGAATAAAGACTTGGCCCTTCCCTTTATTGGTATTGACCGAGCGGCGATAGATCAACCGGTTTAAGGGCTTGATATTGGATATCTAAAATAGATTTTTTAGTTAATCGAGGTTAATTTAGAAAAAAATTAGTACGGTTAGTCGTTAATGATTATTTAAATTTATATTGAAATAATATCTAAAATAAAATAACTAAAGTTGATTTGATGTAGGGTATGTTTGGTAGTCAAATTAACTAGTTTATAGTTTAATTTGTTAGCTTATAATCTTCTCGTATTCAAATAAATTTGGTCGATTCAAATTAACTATAAATTATACGTTATTATATCAGCTATCAGCTACTTTTACCAAACAAATATATTTGACGGGGAAAACCTGGGATGGTAGTTTTATGTCAACGTGAAACCATTTTGGTTTTTCTAATTAAGCTCGAGGCGTTCGTTAATCATACACTTAGCTGTATTTAGATAAATATATATTAGATGAAATTAGGCAACTTTCATTTTTTTTTGTAGGGTCAATTAGGGAATAAAGGAACAGATCATACAAGATCATACCTACTAATTAAAATATTTCTGTGTGTTAAAAGTCTGCAGATACTGCAGATATGATATCTAAACAGGCACCAAACATATCTCAAGCTGCACCTCTTGCATCACTTATACAGTCACATGCATAATCAAGAATTATATATATATGTGTGTGTGTGTGTGTGTGTTGTGTGAGATCATACTAGAAAAGCTATAGCGGAAAAAATAAGAATGAATTCGAGTAATTGAATGTGATATAGCAACGCTGCAAATACGGTCAAATGGTCGAACTTTGGTCAAAGGGACAGTGGCATTCCTATATATATGTGGACTTTGTGTATTATCCCGCGGGGGTATTTTATACATTGTGTATAATGCATTACGCTATTGTGCAATCTCAGAGTTATTAATGTGCAATTTGTTTGATATTATTGTGTAGTTTGTATCTACAATATTTTTTAATGTGTATATCCAAACGTTATATTGTGCATTGCACTGATTATTGTGCAATTATTAAAATTTTATTAAATTATAACTTTGACCCATGAACTAAATTATAATGTGCTAAATTATATTTATAAAATTGCAATTAGATCTCTGTAACTTACCAAATTTTGAAAAAAAAAAATCACCCAGCACCAGATCACATTTCTTGTCAGCAAATTTTCAAAAATCAACTTCTTGTTTTTCCCATTCGTGCGTCTACAGCATCCGCCAGAGCTTCCGTGGCCACTTGCTCTTTTGTCTCCTCCTTATCAAGAAGCCGATTTGGAGCCTATCGTCAAGGTCCCTAGCGAAAAATGCGAGCTTGTCCGAGCTAGGGTTTGGTCCCGCGACGAGTTGTCGAATAGGAGGACGAGGAGACTCGTGGAAGTGGACGGCGGCCGCAGAGGGGGGTGTGACGGAGCCACGACAATTGACAAGTTTTGGGAAGCATTGATTGGAGAGGCAGCTGAAGTTTGGAAGGCGACGATAGCGGGACCGGCGGTGACGGGCGGAATTGTGGCCGACGGTGAATCTGTGTGTATTTTGTGTGTGTACGCGTGTGTGTGTGAGGGTGGGGTGGGGCCGGACACTACAAGAAAACATTCAATTCCAACGAAAAATTCCAACGGTAAAAATTTTCGTTGGAAATTTCAATGAATATTCCAACAAACTTAATTTTATGTTGGAATAAGTGTTGGATGGGTGAGGAATTCCAACGGATTTTTTCCGTTGGAAAGCTGTAGGAATTTATTTCCATAGGATTTTCCGTTGGATTTTAGCTATTTCAACAACCATTTTTCCCACAAATTTTTATACGTAGGAATTTCCGTTGGAATAGCTATTCCAACGGAAAATATAAAAAATTCCAACGGAAAATTCCCGTTGAAATGTAAGAGTTTTTTTTTAGTGAGACCCACTGTGGATGTGATTGTGGGCAATATCCAATTTACCCTAAATCAATATAAATGTTCCGTTTTTTTTTAAAAAAAAATTGTTGAATCATCTGATCTGATAATTACGATGAATTATTATTTCCTTGTTCTTGAATAAAATGTATCATGTAGTGCTGGAATAGAATACGCAATTCACGAAATACTATATCAAGTATAATATATTGCAAGAAATATAAATAAAATAACCAAATAAAAAAAAAAAATGTCAAAGTCCTGCAATTCTCTATAAAATTAAATCCAAATCTCTCCATTTTATATTTAAGGTGTGTCTCCATTTTATAATTAGTTTAACTGTTATTAACAGCTGTATTAATTAAAAAGATTACTCATTAATTAACTAACTCTCTCAAATTTTAATAAAAATAGCTAAGGGCATCTCCAATGGTAATAGTTATTACTAGCTATATGGTCAGCTGACGTGGATGTGAGAGATAAGAAAAATAAATATTATACACTATTGGACCCACGTACTCCTCTCACATGATCTTGGGCTACGTGAAATAGATAAACTATTTGTTAGTAGCTAGTGACTACTCTCTCTCTTACTTTTTCCCTGTCCACGTCATAATAGTTAGCCAAATAGTCAACCATTGGGGACGCCCTAAGCTCTGGATTTGGTGAAGCATATATTGGCATCAAATACAAAAGCAATTTAATCTTGGTAACAAATTAGGGTAAGTCACACAGAAATTGTGAAATAATATAAATATATTCATGATGATGTTTGACATCTAACATTATTAATTAATTAGTAACATCAAGTGATTATTAATAATCATAAAGTTATTGAAACTTTTGCATCTTTATGGCTAGACATGTACAGGAATATTAAGTTTTTTAAGTAACAATCATTCAGCTAATTAATAAATGATTAACATTAATCCAGCTCATTAGAAAATATTAAACAATGCTCATTAGAGACTAATTAATTATTCTTGTATAGTTGTTGATTCTCTTAATTGATCCCTGAATTAATTTAATAATCATTAATTATATATTTAACTAATTTCCATGTTATATATTCCTCCGCCTCATATTGCACTTTGTCTGGCCATTTTAGGAATAATATAAAGGGTTTTGATGAATGCGATTCAAAGCTTTGTGTTTTAAGAGAAATGCTACAGTCTCGTTACGGAACCATTCCGTCGGGATTTGTAACTGTTAGATCATTATGTAATCGTCGTGGATAGTTAATCTAACGGTTACAAATTCAACGGAATGTTTCCGTAACGAAATTTGAAATCGAACTGTGTAATTGAATTTATTTAAGTGGAGAAGAAAATTATCCTGAAATTGGTTTATGAAGTGTACATTTGTGTATTTGGGTAATTTAATTTAATTGTAAGATCTATCCATATTGTTAGATTTGAATTATATGAAATGGATATACAAAATATTTAACTAGGTAACATTTTTAAGGGATCAATAAGTTAGTTGTTAGAGAGTACGTACTAATCGCCAGACAACCATACGTTTGCAATGAATATTTATATTTTTAATTAAAATTTTCGTATTATATATATATATAAAAAAGTATCAAGCATAACTATGATATTTTTTAAATTATAGATTTTTATTATAAAAATGACAGTTCAATCTGTCTGTTAGTCCTTA